GAAACAGTACTAGGGGAGTCGAACCAAACAACGGAGGTGTAAATGATGCCATCAAAGTGAACGACGAAATTGGCAAAAAGCAAAATTAGTCTTCAAAAATCATAACGGAATTTCCAGTACGGACAGTTTCGAGATCGGAACTCTCAATCGAACAAGCAAGTCACAGTCACGAACGTTGCGGACCATGCTGATCAGCATGCTTACGGAATCAAGGGAGATAGAGTAGATGACGCTAAACATGGGAAGAGTGGGCCATAAAACTCGCGTAAAACTGTCTCTTAGTCTAGTTATTAAGTTTGATCTTAAACTAATTCTTCTTCGTAGCAACTCGGATCACTTTTTTATAAGTCTTTATTAACAACAACTTTCTTCTACTCCAGTTTTGCTACGACGTTTCACTGTACAAAATCTAGAGCAATAATTGGAGAATACCTGACGGAGCTGTGTCGCCGGACTATGCATTATCGTGATCTTTTTATTTTACACTGTGCTGCCATCCCTTCTAAGTCAGAAAATGGATTCTTCCCAAAACTTCTCGCTACAAATGCTTGCCCAGATAGGTACTCGAAAACTGCAAGAAGTTTGCTGAAACGTCATTGTGACTACTTCATGAGCCACCTAAGTTGAAACTGTAACCTCCGAATTTCCAAAATCATACACAGTTCGGGTGGCAGCGCTTTGGGACCCTGCCAACCTCCCATTCTAACGGTTATTTAAAAACGGAGCAAAAAGCTTATAAGACGAACTAGCCATACTCCTGTTACTGATACGAGCCCTAAAGATATGCTGTAGCGCCAGTTTAAGTTTGCTCCATTTCGTTATTCGCCACTTCTCCTGAACTCTTTCCTGTTTTACAAGCCATCATTTGCATGTTATTCGGCCTCTGTGTGACCGGTTTTCAGCTGTAGATTGTTTTGCCTTCTCCTCGATGTAGGTGCTGTTTTTTATAAGTCAAATCAGCGAAAAAACGTTAATTTATACAGTAAAAATATGTAGTAAAAATTTTCTACACATTTGGAAAAAATCTGAAAGTAAAAAAAAAGATTCTTCATTTTTGGAAACATTCAGATTCCCAAAACTGCGGGATTCTTAGTTTCGTGTAAATTATCTTTGAAGAGTGCTGTAGTAGTGACAGTGAATTTTTGTAACTATACCGACACGGGGTTTAATCTCTTTTGATGAGCTACTCACTCTCTCACCAATCTTTCTGCTATTGTGGCACTACTTACAGTCCCACCGCTCTCGTAAATAGGGCTTCTAGCAAGATAAAAGAAGAAAATTTCTACCAAAAGTGACTTCTGAGATCTTTCTGACACATTTATGAGCACAAGTTTTGAAAATCTTTGTTCATCCCATTGATCACTTTATGGGTTAATAAGCTCGACATAAACAGAAGACGCTGCGACTATTTGGTTTTCTATGGCAGACTAGAAAACAGTTAAGAAGCAGGAAAATTGAGTAATAAGCTTTTTTGAGAGCCAGATTTGAACCTTTTGAATTTTAATCATTCCTTCATAACGTATAGCCATAATCTTTTGTACCGCATGCTACAGAGGAAATGGCCTTGTAGAATGCCACAAAACAAGAACGGTAATACGTTTTTCTTCCTAACTTCCTGACGATTACATCAGAAAGTAGGAAGAAGTGTCCAGACAAGTTTTGAAATACCAGAGATAAATTAAGCGAGATCAAGAATTTTACAAGAAGAAGATGAAGGTAGCTAGCCGTGAGAAAGAACCATGTTAAAAGCTGGGAAGGTTTAATTGTAATAGTGCAGCTAAGATTTTAGGGGTGGATGCGGTGCTCCTCATAATATGTAAAATTAGTTTGATTATACGTTGTAAATGTTCTCCAAAACGTCTTTTTTCTTTTAGGAACTGGAAACGGACACCGCTGGTATTGCAGCAAGCACCTTTATTTTGGCCCCCGATTTAGTTGTAATGAT